TATGTTTTTAAAAGGATGACGTCATAATAACCTAAACAATAGTGATCTCTGTGGGAGCATGTAACCATCTTGTCCTTGAGGTGACGTAACTGAACCATACACAATAATTCGTCTCCATAGCCTCATTGTTTGCTCCCGCGCGCACACAGTAATATCAGAACAACCATGGAACATTATCTGAACTTTTTTTCTCGAGTAATGATGACCATTTATGTGAACAAGTAAAGAAATGGGGAGTAATAGCCATGGGCGGGTTGAGGAATGGGCAGGAATATACTGTACGTCTTCCTGTGTCAGCGAGTGGCCCTTTGTACTGTGGCCAGGCGGGGAATAAAACCACCTTTACTGTCAACTCTGTCGTGGTAATTGCCGACAGACAAATCTATTGACAAAAACTTGACCCTGAGCATTCTCGTCAAACAACGAAAACTTCATGAACAGGTTTTCATGTTTACATAGTTGGGTTATGTAACACTGGCTGAGATGAGAGAGAGGGAGGGGGCAACGAAGACCTCAGTTACTAGGAAGATTCACGGTTATGGAGGTATAGTTGCTAGATATGGTCGTTTGGGAGGTCCTAGGACAGTTTTTTTTTTATTATTGGGCACCCCCCCTACATCCTTGTGTAAGGTGAAGCGCAGAAGCGTTTACAGCGCCCAACAGGGAAGCATGCTAAGTTCATGCTTGCCTTTATGTCTCATGAGTTAAGGGCGCAGAAGCCTGAAGAGTCAAGGGCGTAGGAGCCTGAAGAGTCAGTGGTTTATGTCTAAGCAAGTTATTGGAAGCTCCAACAACTTGTCCCTGAATACGAATTCGCAACTTTCGATTTACAGCAGGTACCTACATTGCTGCTAGGTGAACAGGGACCAAGGGAGGCTAGGAAGTGTGTCCGAACAACTTTCCACCCGGGAATCGAACCCGTGACATCTCGGATTAGCCCACCCGGGCACAGGTCACTGACCCACTTCGGGGCCTGGGGGGCGAGAATGTAATAGTAATAATAATGATAATAATAATAATAATTCGTAATAAATAAAATTTATAATAAAAAATAAAAATAAAAATAAAATAACAATAATAATACTAAAAAAATATAATAATAATAATAATAATAATAATAATAAAGACGTACAAAAATGAAATAAAAGATCACGAGTGAGAAACAATATACTGTACTGTACTGTATGTTGTACTGTCCATAGCAAGAGAAACTATTGAGATAATGCGATTTATTTTGTACTGGATATTTTGGTTTAGGGTCAAAACTGATGCCCGTCTTTAATGCATCTGGGAATTGTGATCTACTGTTTACGATAACTGCGATGTAAAGCGAGGAGTTATAATCGTTATGTTTTCTATGCTTCCTTTGCAAAATTATGACCTCTTGGTAAAGTGGTGCAGTGAAACCTTGACTTTGTTGGACTTGTGATGCAGTGAATTCCTGACCAGCCTCAATATTAACCTTGTTGGTCTTGAGTTGAATACTTTCTTGAGTGTTGTTGTACCGTAGATAAGTGAGACGGGTGTGGGATTGGATGCAGTTAACGGTACCATTGGTGATATTTCCTGTGTTGACTGCTTCCTGTAAGTGTAAAATAGTGGAGTCATAATAATCATACACATTTCTTCCTTGTCCGGGGCATCAAGGTAATACGTCTAGTTTTAAATTAGTAGTAAACGTTGCTTAAGCTTGTTAGTTGAGGCTTTTTAAGTTTACATGGTTAAAACTCTGAATCAAAATGCCAATGAAAGGTTCCCAAGAAAAATATGTTTTCAAAAACACCAGAAACTTGTGCAAAAAAGGACCTGAGCGACTGTGATAGTGTGGGTCATATACAAGCTGGGGAAGAGGAGAGTACTGAAAAAAATACAGAGGCCTTTAAAATGGACAGTTGTAACTACGCTAACGGTCATGCTGATGAAGATCTACAGTATGTGTTTCAGCCAACTGGCCACCTTTACTGGACACTACAACAATTGATATTTTGGTAGAAAAGGGACCTGTTAAGATATCTAGTGAAAATTTTTTCCAAAAAATGGTGAAATCGACACTTCTCAGAAGACTTTTACATGCGAAGATTGCCAAATGGGGAAATATATGAAAAATTTTATAACAGTAAATTACATAATACTTGGCATAGTAATAGTATGATTGGGGAATTAACAATGCGTATATTACAGTATGTATGTATGCAACTATAAAAATATAAATAAATTTTAACCTGCAAAGGGGCCCCGCAGTGGATGAATTGCCCCGGGCTCCGCAGCCCCCTAGGGACGGCTCTAGATACAGGACTAACCTTGCGTGGCGGGGTGTGATGAACACGTGATCATAATAATAAATAATAATAATAATTAACGGTTTATTGAAAGAGCTTGGCAGCCAGAAGGCTGAAAATATACAGTTACATATTTGGGGAATGGGTTACGAATTACAAATAATATACAAGTGACATAAGTGACACAAATAAGACATATAGTAACTTAGATGGGGATCAGCTCAAACTACAGTTCATTTCAACATAGTGACAGTGTAGGGAGCAGTGTTTACTGGGAGTGAATACACTGGTTTATTACATGTTATTGATAATTTTTACAATGGTTGGGACTGGGCTGTTCTTATAGCGATCAGTTCGTGCACGTATGGGCTGGATGCGGTTGTGGTGTCGAACAGCAATTCTCGGACAGGGGATCTCAGGTGGTAGTAGGGGCCGGTGTCGGGGATGGTGTAGAAGCTTCTTACCAAATTTGCAGATGAGGCCGTGGTGATGGTCAGTGAGAGTCGAAAGGGTCAGTGTGTTGAGCGCTTCTTGATATGTGGAGTAGGAAGGGGAGAGAATAATCTTGCATGCCCTCTTTTGCACTTTTTCTAGGTGTTTACGTTGTGTGGCATTTAGGGAGGAAGACCAGGTGGGGGAGGCATAGGTGAGCTTGGGAAGTATGAATGTTGTGTAAACACTGAGGAGCTCGTGTGCAGGAACTCCGAGGGACTTGAGTCGGCGGAGGAGGTGGAGACGGAAACTGGAGGATTTGACAACTTCACTGACGTGTGGTTTCCAATTTAGTTTGTTGTCTATGGTGACGCCGAGGAGCTTCGTGGAATCTACAACCTGGAGTGTGTTCGGACCTAGGGTAATGGAAGGAGGTGGGACAATGTCGGAGGAGAGGTTGATGTGCATAACCATGGTCTTGGTATGGTTGATGGTGACATGGTTGTTGGTGGCCCAGTTTTGGAGACTGTTCAATAAATCCTGAAGGGCGGTATAGTTGGGAGCAGAATTGTTGACGCTGATCCCAATGGTGGAGTCGTCGACATATTTCCAGCGAGCAGGGGTTTCTCTTAGGGCATCATTGATGAGCATAAGGAAGCAGAGTGGTCCCATCTTGGTGCCTTGGGGGACGCCACAGGTGAGTGACTGAAAGGTGGAGACAGCCCCTCGGAAGCGTACAGCTTGGCGTCGGTCACTGATCATTGTCTGTTTACCAGTGTGTTGTGGGCAGATGGCTGAGATGATCCATTTAGTGTACTCGTTAATCTTATCAGGCGGACTACGCTATACTCAGTCAGTACCACTCACACTGACATGATACGGGACTGAGCTGGACTACGCTATACTCAGTCAGTACCACTCACACCGACATGATACGGGACTGAGCTGGACTACGCTATACTCAGTCAGTACCACTCGCACTGACATGATACGGGACTGAGCTGGACTACGCTATACTCAGTCAGTACCACTCACACTGACATGATACGGGACTGAGCTGGACTACGCTATACTCAGTCAGTACCACTCACACTGACATGATACGGGACTGAGCTGGACTACGCTATACTCAGTCAGTACCACTCACACTGACATGATACGGGACTGAGCTGGACTACGCTATACTCAGTCAGTACCACTCACACTGACATGATACGGGACTGAGCTGGACTACGCTATACTCAGTCAGTACCACTCACACTGACATGATACGGGACTGAGCTGGACTACGCTATACTCAGTCAGTACCATTATACGGGACTGAGCTCTTTGTTTACGTGCGTATCGTCTCAAGGATATGTTTTTATTACCACATTCTGGTTTCTCTTGTAAGATTCTTGGCTTTTTGTTATTAGTATTAATTGTTGTTGCTATTATTCGTGTTATTAGCATAGGGAGTGGACTGTCACTCCTCAGGTTTTACTTCCATTAGGTGTGGGTGTACATATAAACACGGTCCGCGTTATTGTACAGTACCCACACTTCTCTGAAAACACTATCATGTCACGCTTGAACTTTGGACTGACCTTCGAACATGAACACTGTAGCTTCCACCTTCCCGGCGCGGCGGTGCAGGTAACTCGTGGGGAAGAATAACAAGAATTACTGTGTTTGTGTTAAAATGAAAGACAGCATTTTTTATTAATATCGTCTTTTAAGCTTCAATGAGCCAAAATATGTTCCTTTCTGAAGTGTAAAACATTTTAATTTCGGCAAAATGAATCTTAGTCATTGTTTATAACGTTAGGTTACAGGTTTTAAGTGGTAAAATGAGGGAAAGTACTTTTTCGGATTAGGGTTTTTTTTATGTTAAATGCATTTTATCGTTAAAATGAGGTAAAAGTGTTTTTGTGACTACTTCTCTTGGCGTGAGTAATATATATAATAATGACGCTGGCAGCCTGAGACATCACTACCACAGATGACGTTCGTGATGGTGAACTCGTCACTGAAGTGTGTCGTATGTGTACCTTGTTGACCTACCGGTACTCTCGACTCCTCTCATACTGGGGCACTACAGTACTGTAACTTTATTCCACACATGTGTTGTGGTTGCTGACAGGTGGAGCGTCTAACACACACACAAGAACAATTAATAGACCGTACCTGGAGGCTTTTTGTCTTTGCTATATTATACAAACGGCGCAGAGTCATCAGTTACGTTAATTATTAAAAACAAAACGTAAGATTGATTCATTTCTTAAAGAACGGCAAAATAAAACACTTGTAAAGAATCTGTATTTTTTTATTAAGAACATATTTTATTATATACAACCAACTTACTGATACATATAAAAGTAAATTTACGGCTTCATGTGGTTATGCAATACCAAATAAATAAGGATGTATTTGGAGCTTAAAATACCATTGTAACTGTGGGAGTACCAGAGTCAAAGTTAACTCCTTCATACAAGTACTCTAATAATGACAAATATTTTAGTGTTGTTGTTGAGTTTGTTTTAGAGTACTTTATGTAGCCGCTTGCTGGTATCTGTGCTGGCAACTATATCATCGTCTCTTTACCGCGAGGCTGTGGCAAGAGCCTTACCTATAGCGACCGCAGATAATAACAAACACATTGGAATGTAAATATACATGTGTGTGTACCTGTGTGCATGTTTTGTGTATGTCTGTGTTGTGTGTTTAAAATATTTATACAATGTTTACCTCGGGTACAAAACAGTTATAGACAACTTGACTGTAGTCAGATAATAAATAATCTTTATCATAAGATAATTACAGGCGTCAGTACAGTTGAACTGCAACAAATAACTCGATGATTATTTTTGTGATATGTTTTAAAGTTAGAAAGAGTGTGGGATTCTGTAGGCCACAAGAGGCACTACACCACAATGTTCATTCCTTCCAACTAAATGTTTTTCCTCTCATCACTGCGTGTGGCCACGTGCCGCTGCCAGCGGCCCTGGTGCTCACATTAGCCATATACGAGGCAATAACAGATCTGAATTTCAGCACATCACATCAGTCTTGGAGAGTCGGCAGAAATGCTCGTGAAGTAATGATGAAAGGCGATGACTTTCTCAGTGAGTATTTCTTACTGCTCGTTGAGACAGATGGTGCGAACTAATCTGTCGGACACGACGTAAGGATCAGCGTTGGACGATGGTCGACGGTCCTCCAGGTAGCCGGTCTTCTCCTCAGCCACGCCTCTGGGGATCCTGATGGAGGCGCCTCTGTTGGCCACGCCCGCTGAGAAGTCGTGGATGGAGGAGGTCTCGTGGCGGCCTGTAAGACGTCTCTCGTTGTCCTTGCCTCCGTGAGGGTCGTAGGCCTGGATGTGCTTATCGTGAACCTTGGACAGTTTCTCGATGGCGCTTTCGATCTCCAGAATGCCATTAGGTGATCGCATACCTGCAGTAGAGAAGTTGGTGTGCATTCCAGCGCCATTCCAGTCGCCAGGGATGGGCTTGGGGTCCAGGGTCACTACCACGTTGAAGTCCTCGGCAACACGGTGAAGGAGGTAGCGAGCCATCCACAGGTCGTCACCCATAGTGATGCCCTCACAGGGACCAACCTGGAATTCCCACTGGGCGGGCATCACCTCTGCATTCTCTCCGGAGATGTTGATTCCTGTGTACAGACACGCCCTGTAGTGAGCCTCCACCACGTCCCTACCATACACCTTGTTGGCCCCAACACCGCAGTAGTAGGGGCCCTGGGGTCCCGGGTAGCCATTCTTGGGCCAGCCCAGAGGATGCTTGTCAGTGTCCAGCAGTGTGTACTCCTGCTCCATGCCGAACCAGGGGTGCTGGTCCGCGGCTTTCTTCATCACTTCCAGGCATTTCCAGCGCTGGTTAGTATCTGTTGGCTTCTTGTTGTACTTGTAGGTCTCACAGAGCACCAGCTTGTTGTTACCCAGTCTGAAGGGATCCCGATAAATAGCTACCGGGTACAAGTACACGTCGCTGTTGCTGCCTTCAGCCTGGCCCGTTGATGACCCGTCGAAGTTCCAGATTGGCAACTCTGGAACACAGTTTTAGTGAAATGAGAATAATGTAGCGAAGAATATTGCTGCCTGACAGCAAGCTCTAATACATAGAACAATTCCTGTCTAAGACTATAATAATTAAAACTTTTTGTGAAGATGTAGAAAGTTTAGAAGATTTTAAACGTGGCATCAAAGTTTACTATTAACCAGCCTGGGGAAGAAACAGTGTCAGTTAGACATATACGAATGGACAGTGTAGTGACATTAAGCTTCTGCCGAGGGAATGTTTAACACTTGTACTGAACTCTTGGACATTCACTTTCTATTTAAACAATGTCATCTCAAGGTTTACTAATTTAACATAATGCATAACTTAACCTACTAACATAAAATAACAACGCCTAATTTCAGGTAATCAACTTGACGAAAAAGACTGATATGTATACAGCGAGACCTCTATTTAACGGACTATATGGGAGAGTACAGTCCATTATATCTAGGTCTGTTATGTGTTAAATGGGACTCTGCCAGTTAGATTGATGCCCGTTAAATGGAGGCTTTTGCTGCATATATGTAAACTAAAGCTTGTACCACTGGCATGCACTTACCACTGGGGCACTTGGGCACAAAGTTGAGGGTGCGGGTCTTAGAGCGGAGGTTCTCGCCGCTACCGTCCACCCACACATACATGGCCTGACATTTCTGGTCCGGTATATCAAGCCGTAAATACCGGTCCAATACCGTCTTATTGGTACCCTGATTAGGATTCATCTTGGATCTCTGATAATCTGGAAAAAAATACCAGTATTAGTTTTTTGTTGGTTATGTGGTATATAATATGTACAGAAAATAAATATATATTCGTTGTAGCGAACTTATGTTAGCAAGTTATTACAACTGCACTGTATATTAGAAGATACGCTCTCTTTATCACCACCACACTCCTTGCATCACCACTACACCCCTTCCTCCCCTCCCACACCCTCTTTCCCACAAGTTTCTCCCACTGGTCCCACTCATATCGGTAACAGCTGTGGTGGTGGGTATCCTTGATCGAACGGCGCCACAGTGTCTAGCGCAGCCGGCCGTGGGGGAGGGGGAGGGGTAACAGGAGCGCTCTGTTTACACTGTAGCGCCCTCTTGTGGTACCCAACTTTGAGACTCAAGCGGGTTCAGGCAATATAATTAGGTTACAGGGACGAGCGTTGTTAATGCGTATCGCTTCGGCCACTAAATTACGTCGTCAACTGCATTGGGTTACAGTATGTAAAGATTGTTTTATGTTGTCATATTTAAAAGGAAAATAAACATACAAAATCTAATATACACAACGCTTGTGGTTAAGTTAGGTTAAATAATATTGGGTTGGGTTAGGTAATATTGGGTTGGGTTAAGTTAGGTTAGGTAATATTGGGTTGGGTTAAGTTAGGTTAGGTAATATTGGGTTAAGTTAGGTAGTGTGGGTAGCCTCGAGGACAGTTATATAGACAAGGCCATTATCAGTCAGCCATCAAGGGCAGCCACCCTGTAGTCCTCCACAAGGACAACAACCTCGTGTTACCGCTGGCGCCTTGTTGCTGCCCGAGTTACTGTATAATGCAAGGACAACCTCAACATAACTAACAACTTGGTATAAGAAGCTGCATTTGGAACGGATATATAAACACAGACAATAATTATTAATTTTATACAAATCACCACGATAAAAATAATAAATAATTCGACAAAATGCCAATAAAGTTACGTATATGTAATTAAATCACTTACAAAATGATCATGAAGTAATTGTCTAAATAAAAAAATGAATAAATGCCTTGAATGGTAAATAGAATACGATTAAAAGGAAGAACAATTATAAAGGAAATATTTGGCGATATTTTAAGCGTCAAAACAAAGAGGGAGGGCGGAGAGAGCGAGCGAGAGGGGCAGGCTGGCAACACATCCTCTCTCGCCAGTGGAAAAGTACAGTAGCCATCTAGACCAAAATATTACACTAACCAAACAACTTTATAAACTTTCGTGATCTTCTAAACGTATAGTGTATAGTAATGCAGCAATGAATGTCACTCATGTATGCTGCAATAACTCAGTGGTATTAGACGCCCTATTTCCGGGAATATTATTATTGCAATAGAAACTATTATGTATTATCAATATTAATATCACACTTGTATGGTTATTACGGTTTATATTATACAAAACTGACTATTAGTAACGGGGGGAAAATAACAAGAACTGGGGTGAGTGGCGCGGCAAAACCCCAACCACGCAGACGTCAGATCAGTTCACGTGGACACCAACCTTGCTTGCTTACCGGGACACCAAGGCCGTGTTCCTCAGCAAAACCCATGACTGGTTTACCACAAGACTTATAGTATATACATTATCATCTAAAGGTTGTCTAGGGAGAAAAAACTGGTATATGAAGATAGTCTTGAGGCTGATGAAGGACGGTGTATCGGGGGTATGCTTGGTTTCAGACCATTTGCTGATCACGTGAACACTGCCTGTAACAGGTCTCCACGGCCGGCCAGCCAGCCAGCCTAGCCGCTCGCTCCCTGTCCCCTATACTTACTTTTACTAAACTTGTCGCCAAAATGAACTGGGAAATTTACACATACATACGATATTTCTAATGAGTTATTAAAGGGACTGGCGAAACCAGCACGTGTTCAGTCGGTGTTGTCGTGTTAGTTAACATAAGAATGGTGGAAATGCAGAGGGCCTATTGGCCCATACTGGGCAGTCCCGTTTATACCCAACCCCTATTGCTCATATAAGCATCCAACCTATGTTTGAAGCTATCCAGCGTATTCGAGTTAATGATGATATTTGTTAACTTGTTCCATTCATCCACTACTGTCTGTTTTAACACTATACTATGTTCATAACTAAACAGAATATTAATAATAACTAGTACATCTTTCTTCCTGTTGTGTTTGGTGTCATGTTTTTTTTTATAGGTAGCCTTGTGTATAAAATAAGCGAGTGCGAACTTTTTGAAGAATATTGCTGGAGTTAAATTTTATAATACACAAACCACTACGGACTGAAAAACGTTTGTTTACTACCCAGACAAAACTGCATTTGGTTTAGTGACGGACCTTGGAACTTCTCTCCCCACTCCCTCCCTTGGTGTCGTAAGGGCCGTTCACCTAACTCTTGGGGATATTTGGGGCTTTTGTTGTGCCTGGCGAGGAATATTATGGCTGATATAGATCTGTTACACGTGTATGGGTGAATGAAAAGAAGTTTGTGTTTTATCATTCATTTCAGCCAGATTTCAGCCCACCATAATAATTACAGCTGTAGGAATAAATATTAATGACTGAAGTGTGATACCATATTAGGCTTTGGTTCCGGCAAGAGCGAGTGAAGTAAGTTACATTATATCCGCCAGGGACGATGATAACTAGTTGTGGAGGCAGGGTAAGTTTTTGTCTTTGTTCAGTAATGTTAAGCACAAGGTTAGGGGGGGGGGGATGCAATTTCCCACAGCCAACACAATATTTGATACCGTAATGTTACAATACCTAGAGCCGAGTAAATTATTATAGAACGTTGATACCTGTGTTGCTTTAACCCCTTCACTACAGGGACGACAATTTTAATATTTTATTTGACCAACGCAAGACGATTTTATTCAGCTCAAGAGTACACCTGACACAAGGGTTAGTTGATCTGTCTCCCTAGATAATTCTTAAACTGCCTCTTGTTATTTTTCTTTTTTTTTGGGGGGGGGGGCCAGTTTGAGGTGTTTCAGCTGCCTGTGCCACTTGCCTTTTACAGTGAAGTTAATGACAAAAACAGCTTAGTTAATGACAAAAAACAGTGGAGTTAATGACAAAAACAGCGAAGTTAATGACAAGAACCGCGTAGTTCATGACAAAAAACAGTGAAGTTAATGACAAATAGTAAAGTTAATGACAAATAGTAAAGTTGATGACAAAAACAGCGAAGTTAATGACAAAAAACAGTGAAGTTAATGACAAATAGTAAAGTTAATGACAAATAGTAAAGTTGATGACAAAAACAGCGAAGTTAATGACGAAAACAGCGAAGTTAATGACAAGAACCGCGTAGTTCATGAGCAAAAGGGGTTGGGTATAAACGGGACTGTCCAGTATGGGCCAATAGGCCCGCTACAGTTTCCTCCATTCTTATGTTAAGTGACAACAACAGAGTAACCTAATTCCAGACGTGTTGAATGTATTGTGTCAAGTGAATGTGATTGTTGACACTATCAGTCCGCTGTGGCGTCTTGTGTGTGTGGTAAGATCAAATTCCTCGCTAAGAATAGATCCTTGGTAACATATGTCTTGTTTAATGTGACGAGTGAGTGTGACGGTGTGACAGCCTTGGTGTAACATAATGCAGTGTTAGAAAAGTACCTGTGTACCTGTAGTAATTATTACCTTAGTTAAGAGTAAATATTGGAAATGGCCGTAGTCACTGTTGGAAGTGGATACCATTCATTCCCAGTATAGACTCTTAGTTGTACAAGATATAAAACTGTGTAAATATAACAAAGATCAACTTTAGTTACTTATAGGTGCACAGAGACTTTTCCATCACCTATATATAACATGTCAAGTATTTAAAAAAAGTTGGAACTTGGTCATCAAAATTTCACTCAAGAGAAAGTGTCATGTGGTAGAGTTGCATGACAGTGTTGTGACCACATCAGCTGTCACTGTCACGCCTCCCCCCCCCCCCATACTGTTGCATGAACAATTTTGTTTGGTCAGTTATCATCCCAAGGCTGTGTAAAGCAAGTCGACCAGTTTACTACTAATATACACTTGGTAATGTTTGGCGACATGCTATAATAACTTGGTGATAATTGATGCTATAGTGACTTGGTGATAATTGATGCTATAGTGACTTGGTGATTATTGATGCTATAATGACTTGGTGATAATTGATGCTATAATAACTTGGTGATAATTGATGGTATAGTGAGTAAATTATGAGACGTGTACAGTACTTAATTATTACACTAGTTACAGTCATTATATTGCTTGTAGAGATATTTGACTATACTTGCACCTGATCTCTTTTATAAACAAACAAAAAACTTTAGCTGACAGACAAGAACAAAATCTTTAAGCAATCTGTTAACTTAAAAAAAAAACTTGAATATTAATGTATTGACTCGCTGTAGATAAAGACCTGTTTAATATTATACAAGTTTTACGTTAAAACAGATCTTAAATACTTGTAAGCTGCTGGTGTACACGAGTCAACACTATAAATGAAAAGTTCAAAAATGATCTAGAAAGTCAAACAATAATCCTTAAGATGACAAACTCAACAAACAGATATTTTCACTCTAAAGCCACAAGTTTTAAGTCGAGAGTTTATCGTGGAGACATAAGGCTAACACAATTATTACCTGTATTTGTGTGTAAACGTCGTCCTGCTCCTCACAAAATCTTCCTCACAACTGAAGTGGAATAGTAGTAGAGTGTGTTTATATACGCTGGTGGGCGGGGGAATGAAGGCCGGGTGCTAAGACACTGCCCCGTTGATTGGTGGAGAGAGAGGACTTAGCGGAGGAGCTTCCACAACCCTTATCAGAAAGTTAGCTCATTGGCTTATGTATACTGTATAGTGACTCGTGTGTGGGTGTGTGCGTTCACGTGGCCATCACATGCCCCACACATGGACTGTCTGCACACTACTCCTCGCACAGGACACATTACGTCACATTCTATTTGACTGTCGTAACAAAGTTTCCTAGTGAATGGCAACACTGTCTGTGTGTCAAACTATCCAACCAAGAGGCCGGTTGGCCTGTGCATGGCAGCTCCTGTCGAGAGTTACTACCACTCTCTATCATCCATGAATATATCCAGCCTCCTTTTGAAACTTTCCAGCGTTCCAGCACTTACTACAAAGTTGCTAAGCTTGTTCCACTCGTCCATCGCCCTATTTGTAAACCAGTTCCTTCCTATCTCCCTCCTAAACCTAAACTTATCCAACTTAAATCCGTTGTTCCGAGTCCTATCCTGCTCGGATATTATAAGAACTTTACCTATATCACCTTTATTGATTCCTTTCACCCACTTGAATACTTTTATCATATCTCCCCGCACTCTTCGTCTTTCTAGGGAATGCAAGTTTATTTTCTTATGTTATGTTCTTAAGAGCGAACTCGTAACAATAGTTTTAAACACTGGTTTGGAAACAGAGTAGTGGATTAATGGAACAAGTTACCAAATATCATCATTAACTCGAATACGCTGGATAGCTTCAAACATAGGTTGGATGTTTATATGAGCAATAGGGGTTGGGTGTAAACGGGACTGCCCAGTATGGGCAGTTTCCTCCATTCTTATGTTCTTATGTTGTTATCAAACCACACGCTCACTACATGACATTATCTGCCTGATACACTTAACAGTTTTCTTAAACTGATTCTTCATCTTGTATGAAATACTTTAGATATATGTACTTATGTTATTGTTGTTTGTATAATACTTGTGCTTTTATATATGAATTATATTAAATATCTCTACAACAGGTAAAGTCACTCAAAAAATTATCTACAGTTCATAAAATTGTGTTGAAAAAAATGACGCAACGGATGAAGGATTATGCGGTTCAGTTCTGGTGCCCCTATTATAGAATGGATATAAATTCACTAGAGTCGGTGCAGCGAAGAATGACAAAAATGATTCCGGGACTTAGAAACCTTCCATATCAGGATAGGTTAAAGAAACTTAACTTGCATTCCCTAGAAAGACGAAGAGTGCGGGGAGATATGATAGAAGTATTTAAGTGGGTGAAAGGAATCAATAAAGGGGATATAGATAAGTTCTTATAATATCCGAGCAGGATAGGACTCGGAGCAACGGATTAAAGTTGGATAAGTTTAGGTTTAGGAGGGAGATAGGAAGAAACTGGTTCACAAATAGGGTGGTGGACGAGTGGAACAAGCTTAGCAACTTTGTAGTAAGTGCTGGAACTCTGGAAAGTTTTAAAAGGAGGCTAGATAGATTCATGGATGATAGAGAGTGGTAGTAACTCTCGACAGGAGCTGCCATGCACAGGCCAACCGGCCTATTGCAGACTCCTTATTTTATTATGTTCTTATGTTCTTATCACAACCCTACCGAGACAACGGGTGTCCCAGTGTTCATTCGATCACCCAAAGTACAGATAGTTTTTTGAGTGACTATATATAAAACGTAGCCGTTGTTAAGTTAGGTTAGGTTATAGTAAATCACTCTTGATGTCCTTCCCATCCCACTGCCCCACAACACGTAATCTCACCCCATGTGCGTGTGTGTGTGTGTTCAGGTAAATCTAGATATACTTGACTCTTACCTGTAAGTGACCTGTAAAAATAATACCCTCTCCTCCAGCCACGTGTCCCGTACGCCCTCCCAATCTCTCAGCCTGGTACCCCTTGTCCTACTGCCCCCCCACCGGCCAGTTACCCCCCTCCCCCCACACTCACCTGACTGGGGTTTTCCCGCCACAATAAAAATGTAGAAATTTCTCCTTTTTTTGTGAAGATATCATGTGATACCTTTTACTAATGTCTTTTACTCGGCCTTTCTTAATTTATTTTCTTGAGTATTTATTTATTTGTACTGCCTTAACTACTGTTTAGCGTGTGTGTGTCTGTACGCATGTGTGCATGTATGTGTGTATGACTATGAGTATGTGTTAGAGAGAGTTACATACCCTTGACATGTATAAAATTTCTTCCCACAAAATTATCGTTCGATTTTTATAACCCTAGAACAGGTATTTCAAGACCCCCGCCATGGTCACATAAATGTTCTAACACATTGTACTAAATACTTGTCCTAAATTACACAAGATGTTATTTAGAAAAGTTATAATTGTGGTATTAATTGTATCAGGTGTTGGGGGGATGTTAGTGTAATACCTCAGTGATAATTAACTTTTATTGATAGTTATTATACTTTGGGTTAAGGGTTAAAATGGTGTGTTTGGTGATTGAAGCACTGAAGACTTTATTTGGTTACTGAAGCACTTAAGACTATAATGGCTACCCTTAAGTTATTATGACCTTAAATTATAACCAACTGATCTTCACTACAAGCAAAGATAACATTGTAAGACATAACTCGCGGCGGTTAATTAGCGGGAGGGAAGCTATGGGAGGAAGAGTTAAATAAGGTTTATACAAGTTGAGTTTGTTTAAATGGTGGTGTGATGTAAGATGAAGACCCTCGCTTACTCACTCGGTCACACGCACACACTCAAGGCTATAGTAGCAGTGCTTGTTGTTGTCCAGCCTTGGGTCATAATATTCTTAGTTGTTCACACTCCCTCCTCCTCACACATACACACTGGAGGGACATTTGAAACTACAGTAAGGGGTTTAGGGAAAAGATAGGGATTATTTTAGACACTATATACAGTAGGGATTTAAGAACGAATAGATAGGGATTGTGGAAGCGATTATCTGGGAGTGTTGTGAGAGGGAGCAGTACCTGTGTGTGCCTCCTTTCATTTGCCAAACCGAATCCATTTTTTTCACCGCACAAGATATTGTTTGTTAGGGGAATCGTGACAGCTGAGACGAAGGAATGAGTTTGGTTATGATGTGGGTTGTTGTAGGTTGTTGTAGGTTGTGATGTGGGTTGTTGTAAGTTGTTGTAGGTTGTTGTAGGTTGTTGTAGGTTGTGATGTGGGTTGTTGTAGGTTGTGATGTGGGTTGTTGTAGGTTGTGATGTGGGTTGTAGGTTGTTGTAGGTTGTTGTAGGTTGTGATGTGGGTTGTTGTAGGTTGTGATGTGGGTTGTTGTAGGTTGTGATGTGGGTTGTGATGTGGGTTGTTGTAGGTTGTTGTATGTGTTGTTGTGATGTGGGTTGTTGTAGGTTGTGATGTGGGTTGTTGTAGGTTGTGATGTGGGGTTGTTGTAGGTTGTTGTAGGTTGTGATGTGGGTTGTTGTAGGTTGTTGTAGGTTGTGATGTGGGTTGTTGTAGGTTGTGATGTGGGTTGTTGTAGGTTGTGATGTGGGTTGTTGTGGGTTGTGATGTGGGTTGTTGTAGGTTGTTGTGGGTTGTGATGTGGGTTGTTGTAGGTTGTGATGTGGGTTGTTGTAGGTTGTGATGTGGGTTGTTGTAGGTTGTGATGTGGGTTGTTGTAGGTTGTTGTAGGTTGTGATGTGGGTTGTTGTAGGTTGTTGTAGGTTGTTGTAGGTTGTGATGTGGGTTGTTGTGGGTTGTTGTGGGTTGTGATGTGGTTGTTGTTGTGGGTTGTTGTAGGTTGTGATGTGGGTTGTTGTAGGTTGTGATGTGGGTTGTTGTGTTGTTGTAGGTTGTGATGTGGGTTGTTGTAGGTTGTTGTGGGTTGTGATGTGGGTTGTTGTAGGTTGTTGTATGTGGGTTGTTGTAGGTTGTGTCTGTGGGTTGTTGTAGGTTGTGATGTGGGTTGTTGTAGGTTGTTGTAGGTTGTGATGTGGGTTGTTGTGGGTTGTTGTAGGTTGTTGTAGGTTGTGATGTGGTTGTTGTAGGTTGTTGTGGGTTGTTGTGGTTGTATGTGGGTTGTTGTGGTTGTTGTTGTTGTAGGTTGTTGTAGGTTGTGATGTGGGTTGTTGTAGGTTGTGATGTGGGTTGTTGTGGGTTGTGATGTGGGTTGTTGTAGGTTGTTGTAGGTTGTGATGTGGGTTGTTGTAGGTTGTGATGTGGGTTGTTGTAGGTTGTTGTAGGTTGTGATGTGGTTGTAGGGTTGTGATGTGGGTTGTTGTGGGTTGTTGTAGGTTGTGATGTGGGTTGTTGTAGGTTGTTGTAGGTTGTGATGTGGGTTGTTGTAGGTTGTTGTAGGTTGTGATGTGGGTTGTTGCTGGTGTGTTATGCTATTGTTGTTACGATGTTGTGAGTTGATTTAACTACTGGAGGTAGTGGAGTTGTTTTCACAGTTAATTTTTTTCATTGAAGGTTCTGCTAGATTGAGTTAGGTTAGGATAAGTTAGATTAGGTTAGGTCGAATTAGGTTAGGATATATCAGGTTGGGTTAGGTTAACTTACGTTAGGTTAGCATCAGGAGGGTTAAACGTAAGGTGAAATAAGCAAGGGTGGAAATTCTTGAGGCGATCGTAAATGAACTTACCTGCAACACTGTGATCGTGACTTTTCCCCAACGTAATTCACATTTAAGGAGAAATTAAACACATCCCGGATATATTCAGGGCTGGATTAACCACGTGCTTAGGGCACCAAAAGAAGGGGGCACCACAGGTTTTTCTTTTGAAGGCATTATTCCTTGTAGTGACCAGATCATATTTGTGATAAAACCTAATAGGCTGGTGTAAAACCGCCGTATAAAATTGGTGAAAAATATTTATCCCATTTTGTTCGTTAACTATGTTTTGTAAGGGTTTTAAACCAAGAAAACTGTGCTCCTTTTTTTATTTTTAAAGGACACGTTGCCCAATGGAAAACGGCTTTATTTTATACACGTTCAAGAACGTTCCTGAACGTCTGAAATTGTCTAAGTTCGTTCCCTCGCTTCTCAGCCCTCACTCAGGCTCTTGCAGTATCAACGAAATGTGTCTATTTTAACGTGT